AATTTTAATAGATACAGAAATGCAGAGAGAATGAATTTAATCTTTAAATTTTGAAAAAAAGACAATCTTTATATTACCGAATAAATTGTTGTTTTATTCTCTTATTAGCTATATTTATTCGTGACAATTTAAATTCATATCAAGAAGTTGTGGCCTAGTCGGATGCTTGACGCCACATACGTTTAGCAATTTGTATTCAAACATATGATATGACATCAAAATTTTCATGCATGAAACTTTTTTCACAAAGGAAAAACAATTTGTAGTACCAATTTTTTTTTTTTTATGGATATTTCCCCGACTGTATTATTAGCCTGACTCCTTGTGTTACTTGGAAAAGGAGATCTTGATTGATACGGACAAATATCCGGTAATTAAAAAAAAAAAACTTTTCGGTCCTAACTAAATTTAGAATATGACATTTCACAAAATGATGATCTCACGTCAAATTTGTCTCATCATTTATTACATCACTTTACGTATAAACTTGAATGTCTTTTTTTTCCCCTGACCATATTAAACTAAACTTTATTTATTTTAAATAGATAAAGTGTGCTTATTAAAGTAGCATCACGAAATATTGTTAGTATTTTCTGTTTTTTTTTTTTTCCACTTTCTGACCTGAATTAAGAATATTAGTACAAGGATCAATACTTAAAACTTTCCTAGAAAGCTTATTTATTTTAAAGCAAAAATATTTATTTAGAACATTATTTCTTTTCCGTTTCATTTGAAGCTTTTTCAGATTTACAATGCCGATGATTGAACAATTGAAAAACTTTATTCGCCATGGAAAACAGGCAAACAAACACGTCATTCCGGATAACAATTATGGTAATAATGACCGATATCCAAAGTCTCCTGTTGAGGTAGAAAATTTTCGCGCCTACCCTGAAATTAAATCAAGGGTAGATAATTCTTCTGCAATACAACAAATCGTAGCTGAGGAACGAGAGCAAAGGAATAAAATGCCTACATATCCCGGTTTGGAACGTTATCTTATATTAAATAAAATGGGAGAGTATGTGATAGTCAATCAATCAAATAATTCGGTTCAGATATAAATAATCATTCATTGATTTATTAATTTATTATCTTTTAAAAGCGGTGCATTCAGTAACGTATACAAAGCAATTGATACCCTAACTCAAGAGAAAGTGGCAATAAAAGTAGTCAGAAAGCACGAGCTAAATCATTCACAGGTACGAAGAAATTTGGTTTTGGTGTGGTGGGAAGTTTCCAGAATTTTTTTAGTGGCCAACTAGCCACCTAATAGAGTGAACACGATAAGAAATTCACGGCAGTCTTGGCAAGAGCGCGCAATGTACTCAAGGTGACTTGATTCGGGCTCACTTTGACTTCATTCGGATATGGGTCTTCATGAACGTAGAATTTCCACACTGAAATCAATTTTTTTATTAACGTCCCCCCAACCACTTCTGCTCATCCATGTCTTGTATAATTGGCATCGAGTAGGAGAAGCATCTTCATCGTGATATGAAAAAGAAGCATCGTGCAATTGAGGTTAGCTTTTCTTTTAAAACTTTTATTTAAAAAAAAAAAAGAAATAATGTGATGTAGAGAAGCAGACAATAAGACACAAATGCATAAATATTTTTTTTTTGGGGGGGATTTGTTGAAAGATGTTCGTAAATGAACTTCAACCTGCTGAATTTCTTGAAAGGATTTTCGAATATGCAACTTACATGATATATTTATACCCTTATATTTACTTTAGCGGTCGAACATCCTCAAAGAAGTCCAAATAATGCGCCAATTAAAGCATCCATCGATCGTATCTCTATTGTCTTTTTCGGAATCTCCGGATTATTATTATCTGGTTCTCGAATTAATGGAAGGTGGCGAACTATTCCATCAAATAGTGAAACTTACCTATTTCTCGGAAAATTTATCACGTCATGTTATTGTTCAAGTTGCCGAAGGAATAAGATATTTGCATGAAGAAAAAGGAGTTGTCCATAGGTAGGATAATTTCTAAACTTTATAAATTTTAGAATTGGGGAACGAGTTTACATATTAAAAAAAAAATTTGTTAGGGACATCAAACCTGAAAATCTTTTATTCGAGCCCATCACATTTATTCCTTCGAAAAATCCAAAAGTTCCTGGCCCAAATGATGAATTTAAAGAGGATGAGGGCGAATTCATTCCTGGATTAGGTGGTGGCGGTATTGGAAAGATCAAAATCGCCGATTTCGGTTTATCTAAAATTGTTTGGGACGAGCAGACAATGACTCCGTGTGGTACAGTTGGATATACTGCTCCCGAAATTGTAAAAGATGAAAGGTATAGTAAAAGTGTTGATATGTGGGCGCTTGGTTGTGTCTTATATACAATGCTGTGTGGTTTTCCGCCTTTCTACGATGAAAGCATTAATGACTTGACCGACAAAGTTGTCAAAGGTCAATATACTTTCTTAAGTCCATGGTGGGATGATATCTCCGCTTCATGTAAGTTATTAAAATTTAAATTCTAATGATCTTATATAAAAATATTTTGTATTCAAGATTATTACATTATAACTTTTAATAGCCAAAGATTTGATATCAAATCTTCTTGCGGTTGATCCTGAGAAACGTTATACCATAAATCAATTTTTCGAACATCCGTGGATTAAGGATGAGGTAACCCTATTTAGAAAAGTCATACGTTACTTTAAAAATTACTTTATTAATGATTTTGTGAAATGAACAGCCATTTCTTCCGAAATCCAATCTTGCACCAACTGACAATAAGAATAAAGCCGAAGTTAGGCAACGTTACACTAGCGTTGATTCGCCTCTTATATATGAAGAAATGTTACAAACACCCGTTGAGAATTTCAGACGTAAAGATATACTTTCACCCGGTATTTCCCTTAAGGAAGCGCTTGAAGTTACTTATGCCGTACATCGTATGGAAGAGGAGACTGCGAAAAAAAGAAAAATGAAAATGAGTGGACATGGAGGAAAGAGCTTAGCTTTGAACCCATTTAAAGGCAGGTTAACTTTGAATGATGAAGGTGACGACGACGAAGATACCTCATCGATTCATCAAGTGCCAATAAGTGAAACAGCATCAGTGACAAATCATGCTTCAAATGAACCCATTAAAATGAAAACTGGTTCAAAAGTTACCTTCATGCAACCTACATCATCATCCAAACGTAGTAAGGAAATACCTAGACGTATGGCTTTTGAGTTAAGCTTAGATGGTGCTACGCTACTGTGCAGACGAAAAAAAGCTTTAGGGACTGTTGAAGTTTGATTGGTGTCATGATAACTTTCTTAAGTTTCACTCATATATTATATATAATAATATTACCTAATGTATATACAGCTTTGTTCTCGTTATTATTTTATTTTATTTTTATTTTTTTAACTTTCGGATTTTTTTTTTTTTTTTATTTAATTGTCAACTAAACCAAGAATTGCTATTATAAATAAATTTGTAAAATTGATTGTGAATTAGATGTGGGAATATTTTAATGTAGGGGTAAAGAATGTGACATTTCAAAACATTGTTTAAACCGGTTCGAATGCCAAATAACCAATAAATCTTTCGAAAATTTTTTTTTTATCAAAATCAATGTAATACGAATCATTCAAGACGTTGTTAAAGAATCCCGTCCATATATGAAACAAAAAATTTGATAAAGGACATTTTTATTTATTATTGTAATTTTAATAGATACAGAAATGCAGAGAGAATGAATTTAATCTTTAAATTTTGAAAAAAAGACAATCTTTATATTACAGCCGAACTTTTAACAAAAAATTGAGATTTTAGTTTTTTGATGTTAGTAGATTAAAATGCATTAAGTTTTAGTTCGTTAAATTGAGTATTGACTTAGTCCGTTATGTATAATAAAATATATGAATAACAAAAATGAAATGAATCATTTAAAAGACAAGTCATCTGGTACTGCGGAGGTACAAGCCGAAAATGATTTGCGAGACAAAGGAATTTGTATAAAGAAAAAAAAAATTCAAAAAGAGAATAAAGAAAGAAAAAATGATGTAGTTAAACGGATTAAACAAAATGATTTAATAAATATTGACCGTTCATTCATTGAAGGGTTGGCACTATACATAAATGAGAGAACAATTGAATATTATTCGATCGCTTTATTTATTTATTTATTTATTTTTATTCAAATTTTCATATCTAATAGATTATAAATTAAAAATTATCTTCCATCATGATAATACAAAATGATATTCTAATCTAATTACAGTAAATATTAAATAATAAATGAGAATTATAAATATTTAATTAGGCACGAGCCTGAGCAATTCGGTCCAAACGATCTTGTTCGGTTGCTATTTTTATTTAAAGGAAGCAATTCAAGTTAATATTTATAACAACGATAGGTTTACTTTCTTAAAAAAACTTCATTAATAAATACTTACTGCAAACCAAAGAAACTCCTGGAGAATTTACCAAAGGAAGTGGACAACAAGTCAAACCGGTATTACATTCGTTAAGACTCCAAACGTTTACTGGTTCACCTGCATCGTTTAGAGTGGTAAAGCATTTAGCAAACGCACCATTTATACAAGCTTGATCATTTGCTTCACATGGGGTATCAACCGTAAAAGTTTTAAATTCTTCAAATAAAGCTTCTGCTTTATCTGCGTTTGCTCTTTGTGTAGCTTTGTCTTGTGCCAAGGCAACAATGGAACATGAGAGAACTAAAGCTAATGTGGCGAAGAATTTCATTTCTTATTTTTTTTTGTTGTTGTTGTTTTTGGGATAATGTTTTAGAGCAAGTGTTTTATTTTTTTTTTTTTTTTCGCTCGAAAAACGGTGAAATTTATAAACTTTTCAGATACTTTCACGAGAGAATATTTTAGGACTAAGGTACATTAAATACATAAATTTGCATGATTATTTTTTTTTTTCTTTCCTATATTGTATTTATCCTTCGACAAATCAAACGCACCTTAAAAGATAATAAATATAATTAACACGGAAATGTAAAGTTTGGATGTGCAGACTGCAAAAATAAATGAAACATTTAAAAAAGGAAATTGAATAACATTTTACCATAAAAGTCGTTTCTTAATATGAGATGTTTTCACTCGATTGAAAAAAAAAAAATTTCATGCACGAAATATAACACTATATTACGCCAACTTGCGTTTCATTATCTTTACTATTTCCGGTTATCCCCTCCCCCTTTTTTTTCCTTTCAATCATAAAGGATATTGTGTAGTAATAATAAAATTAATTAAAACAAACTTTAAAATTTAAGGAGCTGTGTAACTTAAATGAGATGTATTAGAATGATCTGAATCATCTCCGTCTGTAACATCAAATCATTAAAGTCTGACAATCATAATAGTATAATTCGTTACTAAGACAACATCTTCTAGGTGTAGTCGAAAGTTCAGTCATTAATTGAACTTCTTCAAGTCCTAAAAATTATTTAAATGATTATTTTTTTTTCCATTAAAAAAAAATGTTGAACAAAACATGTGGGAGGTTTGCTGTCTAACTTTGTCTCGTAACTGGATTTTAATAGCAAACGACCATATAGGGAATAAATATTTCTTCATCCATTGACGTTATGGTTGGAAATTTACAATTTTTCAAACTAATTCAATAGGTTTCCAATCAGTTAAAAACCTTAATCCAAATAAATGTTAATGAGCTATGTATCAACTTTATAATACTTTTTGAAATGGATGATTTCCACAAGTTCGTGAACAAATCATAAAGATTCACCGGACCTATTACAAATTTTGACATTATCAATCATTTAATACAAATTTAAACATTTCTTGGGACCTTCGTCCTTCTAATCCTTTTCTAAACGAGGGGTTCCAATTCTGATGGAACATTTTCAGTCTATTAGACTTTTTCCTTAAAATTTGAAGCAACATACCATACCTTAATTAATATTCAATGGGTAGAAAGTAAGTATCGGAAACTAAACATTACGGACGCATATAAAATGTTGACCATGCTCGATCCCAAATTATTTTGAAGTCCACAAGTTCCTTCAACTTATGAAAAAAATATTATAAAGCTGTGACTGGTTCAATTTAAATGTTGAGACTAGTGCTTTTAGCAAACGCTGAACTTATTACAAGCTTTGATCTATTGGAAGAGCGCTCACTTTAATACAAAATTAAATATAAATCGTGAATTATCATCGTGACAATACATACGTGGCACGGACGATGTATTGGATACGATCATATCAGTATCTTTGAATCGGTGATGGGTTTTGGACATTTAAATATTTTGGACAAAGTATGAACATATGAATAAGTGCCACACCTGTCCCAAAATGTCCAACTGTAGCTAAAATGTATATAACCATGAAGTTACTAGTAATTTTAAACAACATTCTCAATCTGGTTATTTACGAATATTTTATGTGGTATTATTTATTTTGTTTTTCCGATGTATTATAGTTTTGCTTAAAGTATAATATGTAAACTTTACATAAATAAATCAGGTCATAATTAAGCAAATTACTTTAATATCTTTTTTATTTAATTATTGTAATAATACTCGACTAAGTATATACTGTATTTCGATATGCCGACTCTAATTCCCCAATAAAATTATATTCCCGAATAAACTAATATGTCATCAACTTACTGCGCCCCTTAGCACTTAACTGCGGAAAATTATGACGAATTGTTTAATACTTCAGTTAACCATAAATAAAGGGAATGGTTATTGGTGTTGTGAAAAAAAAAGAAAGATTTGAACAATTAACAATCTTTTTAATGGTTTACACTATAATCACAATTAATGCTTTTAACTTGAGAATTAAGAGCAAAAGAAATTACTATTAATGAATACGACATTCCAGCTTTATAAACAGTTATTTTAAGGCTTAATTGATTCTGCTAAAGAAAATGATATTGAATTAAAACTAAAGCTCCGAACGGTTCTATATCAATTTTCAGGTTTTCTTAGTATTTATTTTCTATATCAATCTTTTAATAATATATATAGTTTTTACATTATGAAAAATTCAATTGATTCTAATTTTTATGTTATTTTTTAAAATGATCGATCTACCATTTGTAAATATTTATTTGTTTGTTAAAAAAAAAAAAGAACAATGAATGATTAGATTCGTCAACTTTTTGTGTGACAAATTTAAATTTCAGTTAAATTATATCAAATAAAATTTAAGGATTAGAATATATCTGAATTTCAGATACAAGTCAATATTTAAATAATATATATATATTTTTTTTTAGGCGATTTCTATTTGTACACAGGTGTATTGTACATGGGTCACGTGATACGACCGGCATTAAAAGTACTTTTACCAACATTGTGGCGGATAATGTGTGATGAATATGATTTTTCACCGAAAAAAATTCAAAGTTCCTTAAATAATTAGAACAAACTAACACCGGTGATAAATATATGGGGTCTAGTTAATAGAAAAGGGGGAAATCTAAATTTTGATAATTTTTTTTATTGGTCCACTTGACTGATCACAGTCATGTGTTCAAAATTAGCTTAGAAATTAAAATTAATGAAAATTTTCAGATTTCCTTTTTTATTGACAAGCCTTCATATGTCACATGATACGGATATATACATCTTATGTAAACTTAGAAATTTTCATTTCTTAATAGGATTCATAATTTTTTTAATATTTTTATTTTTTTATTTATTTATTAAAAGTTTTTTTTCTTTTATTAGATTTAATATATTTAAAGAGTCATTTTTTTTTTATTTCTTACTATTATTACATTTAACAATTTTAATAATTTATTTATTTTTAGCTATTAGCAATTTTTTCTTTTATTTATTTAGTTTAATTATTTTGATTATTTTGATTATTTTTTATTTTAATTATTTTGATATTTTTTAGTTATTTTGATTATTTAATACCTTAATTATTTTGATTATTTATATTTATTTTAAATCTAATTTTTTAAATTTTCTTTTAAATAAAAAAATATTTAAATTTTATCACTTTATTATACTTTTAAAAAATATATAAAAATTAAAAATATTTAATAAATTAAATTTTTAAATTTTTATTTAAAAAAATTCTAATTTTACTAAAATAAAGATATTAAATATTTAATATTTACTATTCTATTTAAAATTAAATATTTTCTGAAATTAAGTATCTTTATAATAATTAAAATAAACATATTTAAAAAATTTGTAATGAGCTAGTTATATTAACTTTATTAATTATTAAAAAGTAATATTTGCAAAAAAAAAAAAAAATAATAATAAAAAATAAATTATTTATATCTTTTTATCATTATTTAATTATATCAATATATTATTATTATTACTATTACTATTAATTTATTTTATTATTTTTAATTTTTTTATTAAAAATTTTAAATTATTTAAAATATTACATTTTTAAAAAGATAAAAAATTTTATTTAAAATTTATTTTTATATATATTTTACTTAATTATATACTGTATATTATAGTTAAAAGATTTTTAAATTTGTAAATTAGTTTTTAGAATAATCTATATTTAAATTTAAAAGCTAATTAGTATTTAATAATCTTTGCATAAAGAATTAGATAACAATTTATTAATCAAATATCTTAAAATAAATAAAAAAAATGTATTTATAAGCATATAATTTTAGAATTTATAGAAACTTATATAACTTTACAAAGTAATTCTCTATTAAACTGAAATTAAAAATTACATTTTACTATATAATAAGTGTGAAATTGAAATTAAACTTGCTTAATTTTTTTAATTATTTTACTAAAAAAATATACTAGAAAGCAGTTTGTAAAATGTAAGTATCAAATAGTGCTATAATAAAAGGAATAATAGAAAAAATTAAATATTTTCTTAAATTATTTGTATTCCTTAATTCTCTAAAAAATTACTCTTTATGTAAAAGATATTATAATTAGATCATCATTAAAAAAAGAATAAGACTTTTAAAAGATAATAAGTTATTGATATTAAAAAATATTTGCAATTCTAGAGTCTAAGTATCTTTACCTAATTTAATATATAAAATACTTTTAAAAAGAATATATAAGTTAGAAGATTTTATTTAACAATTATTATCTAAAAATATAACATTAAAAAAAATAATTAAAATAACTAGCAAAATCAAATGAGATGCATGATAAAA